CATTTGAAAGAAGAAAACTCATACTTTAATTTGATGTATACAGTTTTTTGAAAATAAATTTCTTTTCTTTGCTACATAACCTCAAATACAGGCAAAAATCGCGTTTTTTGCACTTTAAGGTTAGGATATCTCGAAAACCGGAGCCACCAGAGTAATTCTGACCTCGGATTCGGATTCAGCGCGCAAAAAACCTTCGGAAAACTATACTCGGGTTCTTGGTAAGATATTTTTGTCAAATTCTGTCGGCCTGTGTTATCTTTTTAAATGCTGTGATTATTATTATTATTATTATTATTATTATTTTTTTTTTTTTTTTTTTTTTACAAGGAGTTGCGGAATCCTTTTTGCGGATTTCCCTTAGTCTTGATCTAAGGAGGTATGTGGGACTCCCCAAAAAAAAAAAAAAGACAGGCCTACCCACTAAACCGCCATCTCCTTGTTGTCCTTCCCCCAGCCAGGGACTATGTTGATATTACTTCTGACTGGGGGTTCTGTCTGTGTTCCTTCGTTCGTATCGTTTTACCGTGCGTCGTTACGTCGCGTCAATCCGTCTGCTCAGTCGTCCTTCAGACAGTCGTCCGCGTTCTTACGTCTTAGTATGGTTTCCGTATAGGTAGCGACTAAACGCCACCATTCAGGTTTATGCAGCATCACCTCTACAATGTTATCGGGGGTGATGTTGCCAACTGTTGTCTCTAGTTCTCGTCTGAGTCTTGTCCAGCGGTCGCACCCGAAAAACGTGTGTTCCGCGTCGTCTCGTTCGTGTCCACAATACTTGCAGTCGGGTGTTCGTACTCGGTTCATATTGTGGAGGTACCGTCGAAAGTACCCATGGCCCGTCAAGAGCTGGGTGACGTGAAAATTCACATCTTCAAAATTCCTTCCAAGCCACGGTCTCACGTCCCGTATCAGTCGTCTCGTCCATTTGCTACCTCGTTCTTCTGTCCATCGGTCTTGCCACATGTCGATCGTCCTTTCGCGTTCAACGATTGCCGCGTTCTTTCGTCCTATGTCTGCGCTGCTCCCATAGATCCTTTTGCGTTCCGAGGCAAGAAGATCCACGGGTATTACGCTCGCCACCACCAGGACAGCCTGCGCAGAGACTGTTCGGTAGGAGCAAGCGATTCGCAGAGCGCCCTGTCTCTGTACCATCGTCATTGTCTTACAGTACTTCTTTGTCTTCAAGGAATCTGCCCATATTTCCGCGCCGTATAAAAGGATCGAGTGAGCTGTCGCCATTAGCAGTCGCCGCTTTCCTGGTCTCGGTCCCGTCGTGTTTGCCATCAGGCGGCTCAAGGATGTTATCCTCTCTGCCGCTTTTCGGGCTGTCTTCTGTATGTGAGGCCAGAAGGTCATCTTCGTATCAAGGGTTACCCCAAGGTACTTGACTTCCCCTTTGGTCTCCGTTTCGTATGTGCCCACTCTCATGGGTAGTATCGTCTGTATGCGTCTTCTCGTGAGAAGCATAAGTTCCGTCTTTTCTGTTGCGAGTTGCAGTCCGTGTTCTGTCATCCATCGTCCAACTCGTCTCATGGTCTGGTTCAACGTCAGCTGCGCCAGCTCGGGAGATCTCTCCGTGATCACCGCCGCCACGTCATCAGCGTAGGCGACGAGGGTCACTCCGAGTGGCATCCCAAGCCGAAGCAGACTATCGTATAGACCATTCCAAAAGTCGGGTCCCAGTATCAACCCCTGAGCCACCCCAGCGGTGACCTGTCTCGTTACCTGTCCTTCGATCGTCTCGTACGTTATTCGTCTGTTTCTCAGATAATCCTCCACAACCCGAACCAGGTACGGTGGAATCCGAAAGTTGCTTTTCAGCGCCTCCAAGATATCCACCCACCTGGCCGAGTTAAAAGCATTTCTGATGTCGAGCGTCGCTAGCAGCACAATGGGTCGCGCCGCATGGCAGTGTCTGTCTAGTTCCAGGAAAGAATCAATCACCTTTTGGATCGCTCCAATCGTCGACCGACCCCTCCTGAAGCCGAATTGCAAATCTGAGAGACCCCCTCCGGCCTGTATCGCGTCCGTCAGTCTCGGTCTGAGTAATTGTTCAAAGAGTTTACCAGTAGTGTCAAGTAAACTCAACGGCCGGTAGGCCGAAGGAGTGCCAGGGTCGCCCCTACCTTTTGGAATAAGAACGAGCCTCGCCTCCTTCCACCGATCGCTGAACGTTCCTGTCGTCAAGCACGTATTGTACAGGTCAAGAAGTATCTCCGGCCGTAGACGAGCCACGAGCCGGAGGATCTCGGATGGTACTCCGTCCGGTCCCGGTGCCTTACCCGTCTTCACCGCATTCGTTGCTCTGATGAGCTCCTCAGCGGTAAAAGCGGGGGGCATTTGTGCGTCCACGTCATCCATCACGTTTGTCCTAATCGAGTGCGTCGGAAACAATCCGTCAACAATCCGTCCTGCTGTTTCGGCATCTTTAAGTGCCGGTGAGACTCGGGCCCCTAGTTTCCCGGTCACAATCTTGTAGCCGGTTCCCCAGGGATCCTCGTTCACCTCCTCGCAGAGCTTCCTCCAGCATCGCGTCTTGCTGTCCCGTATTGCTTTCGTCAGCGTCTTCCGTGCTGTTTTGTATATGGCCTGAAGGTTTTCCCTTTCGGGTCCACCTCCAGCCCTCGTCGCACGTCGCCGATTTGCCAGGCATATCTTGCGTAGCTCGGCTATTTCGTCCGTCCACCAGTATTGTGGTCGTCTTTTTTGTATCTGTCGTCGTTTCGTCATTGTGCTGGTGCACAAGTTGTTTATTAATTTCGCCGTCTCGTCTGTCAGTCTTTCCGTTCTTCGCCGGCCCGTTAGCTCAGGAGGAATCTTCGACCCCGGGGCTGATGCCGCCGTCAACTCCTCCGAAAATTTTTGTCGGTCAAGTTTGTTAAGGTTCCACCGCGGGGGTTGGTGGATTCTCGTTTGTCTCGTTTCTGTCCGTCCCGCCACTTCGAAGACGATGTATTGATGGTCGCTGGCTGTATAGTCCTCGACCACCCGCCACCCCCTCAGCCGTGACAGGATTCTGTCCGACGTCATCGTCACGTCAGGGATGGAGTCTCCAATCCCTGGTCGTCTGTACGTCGGCGTGTGTCCCGTATTTACTACTGTTAGGTCCAACCTTGCGGCCATTTCCAGCAGCAGTCGTCCACGTCGGTTCGTTTCGTTCATTCCCCACTCGATCGCCCTCGCATTAAGATCCCCCGCAACGATGACATCTCCGGGCAGGTCCCTGATCCCGTCCTCTAACAGCGTCGCCTTCCTTTCGAACTCCGCCGCGGTGCAGTTGGGTGTCAAGTAGACGCTGACATAAGTGACAGCGCCGACTGTAGCCCAGACGTAGTCGTCCCCGACTCCGCGGTTGGAGACTCGAAATTGAGCGGCGCCCCTTACCCAGATAGCAGTGGTCTCTGTCCTGTTTGTAATGTATGTCTGGGACATCCTTTTCCTGTATGGTTCACACAGGATCAGAATATCCGCGTCATGTTCGTCGGCTATCTGCGGTAGGAGCATGTCTGCAGTCCTACTTCTATTCAAGTTTCCTTGTACTACTCTGTCCGTCTTCCGGCACGCCTCCTGCACTCCTCCAGCGCGGCCCGGAACACGGCACACCTGCCGTTTCCGGCGAGGTGGGCGACGTCCCCATGCCCGGCCTCGGAGCACAGTGGGCAGACCGGTTCTCCTTTGCATTCCGTCGCGTAATGTCCGGATGCGCCGCATTTGCGGCAGCATTTTGTCCTGTCCTTGCCCGTACATTCGGCCTTCACGTGGCCGAAGCCCAGGCACCTGTAACATTTCGTCACCGTCAGTCTTTTTCGGACGCGGCAGTGCACCCAGCCAATTCCGATCCGACCGCGCCGCAGCAGCGCCTCGGCTTCTCGCGATTCCATTTCGCAGACCGCCATATACTGCTCAGCGCGGTTAGGACCGAAAATGTGGACCCGAAAGTCTGTGTCTCGCCCAGACTCTCGTCTGAGCGCGTCCGTCACGTCTTCCGGAGTCGCAACGCAGTCCAGATCCATGATCTCCAATTGTACCTTGGAAGTCATAGCCCTGACACTGCCCGCTTCCCCGATGGCCTCCTGGATCTGTCGCTCAAATACGTCGCGTCCGTCTGGTTTGTCTGCGTCTACCTGCAGCTTCAATAGGCACAGACCGTTCTTAATCTTCCTCAGGGTCGTCACCTGTACGTGACTCTCCTTCGGATCGATCGTTGTCCGGATTTTTCGGACGATATCGGAGTACGACGCATGTGTCCCCGGTTTAACGAGGACAGCGAGTCCCCTTTTCTGGTGGGCCGGTCTGTCCTTGTCAGGTCGATTCCTTGCGTCCGTTTTCTTTTTTGTTTTTTTCCGTGTAACGGTCTGCCAGTCTTTGGTCGAAACTGTCGTCGGTGGCCTCTTTTGTGAGGGCTCCGGCGTGGTTCCGGTCAGCGAACGTTTCCGTTTCGTCTGTGGCGTCTCTGCGTTGTTGTTCGTCGTCGTGCTTGTCTTGTTGCTGTCTCGTCGGTGTCCTTCCGGAGCTGTGTCCATCCGCTTGTGCAGCGCAATGTCCACAGTCTATTATTATTATTATTATTATTATTATTATTATTATTATTATTATTATTATTATTATTATTGTTGTAGTATATAAAATATGTTGTAACAAACTGTACATATTGCATCCTACTGGGTTATACCCCATGTATAAATAAAGCTCACTCTACTTTACTCTTTTTCAGACAAGTCTAACGACAAAGTGCGAAGTTCGGCGGAACATTATTATTATGCAATATTACATCAATATAGTATGTACCGCATGAAATCAATGAATGTTACATTATGTTTCTTTGTAGTGATATACCTAGATATTATGATATACATATATGTTATTCTTATTGTTATTGTAATTTCAAGAACTACGTTTACGTGGAACGTTACAGAGGTACACTAGATACCTGTACGCATTAGTCTTGGTTCTCTATAGTTATCTAAAACATTACTCCCTTATTACTATTTAATTGTTACCTTATAAACTGCTGAGCCAGCTGCTGCAGAAGCAGCTAATACAACACCTCCTAATGTCGGGCTGCCTGTAATTCCGTCCATATAAGCTAGTAGAGCGATACCAGTATCACAAAGTATTACAGCTACTATCTGAAAATTACAAATTCAATTTTAAATAATTATAAATCAATGAGTGAATACAATTACTCGACAAGTTCATAGTGTTCAATATCCCACAGAACATGGAATATTTCTGAAATATTTTATGAAAATATTTCAGAACGGTTTTTATCTCAGACATTGCCATATCTCAGAAAAGTTTCAAGAAATATTTCTGAAACATTTCAAGGAATATTTCGGAAAAATTTCAAGGAATATTTCTGAAACCTTTTACGTCTATTAATATCTATTAATATTACACCTCGAAAGCATGGTCATTGAAAGCGAAGGAATCATTATGATTAAATTCAATTTAAATTAAATAATATTTAATATTTTTTGTAACAGAGTGAATTAGCTAGTACAATAGGAATTTATTAAAGCACAAACTCTCACGATTCGGAGCTAACCGCCGCTCCGTTAACCACGTATGGTTATACGAGTATTCACCTTTACGTTTGATACTTTCGTTTCAGTGTCTTCTTTCCAACCGAGTTGAACTCACCTTAAATTACCTGACTTGTGACACTCGATCTATTTTAGGTGTGAGTGACCTAATACTTAATCCGACTAATCACCTAGATGAAATCAGTTCAAAATTAAATCCGTGATAGATCCGTTAAACTATTAGGAAACGAAATGACGTAATGCGGCGAATAAAATTAATAGTGTTTAATTTTAGAAAATTAGTTTTTGACGGACCGAAAGACTAACGGACGTGAATAGGATTTACAATGATTAATAATAATACGGGGAGAGAGAGAGAAAGTATTCGAAACTTTGCCGCGAAAACTAATGCTCGGCGCGAATACAAAAAATAACGATCGTGATCGACAAAATATTCTCGCTAGTATTTTGTCACGCAATGAAAGGGACGTGCACCTACCCTGCGGTGCAATGACGGTGATCAGCCGTAATTGTTGAAGAGAATAAAAGGTGCTCCTCAAATCAGCTGCTCTGCCTTGCTCGCTTCCAAATTTGCTCCATTACTGCTGCTTTATTTGTTGCTGCTGTGATGCTGTTACTGTGCTTGCTTCCTCGCTCACTCACGCATGTATTGAAAATCCCAATAAACTATTTTATGAAAACGGTGAAACATAGTGAAAACTAATTGGCGGTACTACTCGTACACTAAGTAACAGCTGAGGCTTATCTGAACTTTTTAAACTCTCGCGCTCTCTCTCTCTCTCTCTCTCTCTCTCTTAGTCGTTCATTCTAGCATCGCGAGTGTACCGAATCACGAACGAATCGATTAATCGAATCGACTACCGTTGCACTTTCAATGAGAATGATCAGCATTAAATGAATTATATTTAATGCAATTTAATTGATTCCTTTTTTAGTTTTTTTTAAATAGTTTTAAGGGTGTTTTATTGGGATTCAGATTCACAATTAATAATGATTGAAGTTTTTGAACAATACATCAATAATATTCAATAGCATACATCACTGTCAAATGAATTTTTTCTAATTAATTTCAATAGAAATGATTTTCAATCCTATTTAGTATACATACTGCATCACATTATTAATATTTTTGAGCATACATGCTGAACAATATTGCAGCTTGTAAGTAAAGTATTATTTTTCAATTGATTGAAACATAAATAATGAATCTTCTTTAATAACATTTAATACTGCAATTGGAATTGTTTCAAAAAATCATAGTAATAATTTCAAATAAATCATTTTTACTCAATTCCAATACTATTAATTTAAAATGAATTGAAACTATTTTACACAGTGAGTAAAATGAGTTAATTCAATTGTTTTTCCGATTCATTTGCGACATGATATGTGTAGTATGATTTATACCCAAGCAGTAAGAATTATTTCTGAAATATTTCTGCAACATACTTCTTGCAACATCTCCAACCTTTACGGTAACCAATGAAAATGTTGCCAAAATGTTGCTACAATGTGTAAAATGTACGCCTTTGTTTAATGCCCAATATTGCTAAAATGTTGCTGATACATGTTTCCCTGATATTTTCACAATGTTGTCATTAACATATATTTGGAAACATTTTGGCAACATTCCCGGCTAAAACTAGGACATTCAATCGGATTGAAAATTTAATTCGTTTTGAGTCTATTTCTGAGTCCTGCATATGGTAAGTTAAATTCAATAAAGTGAAATTGATCTGAATCCTCTTTATTATTTTTCAATCCTAAAATTAATTAATAAATATGTAACATTAATTTCGGGATAAAAAAATATTAATGTGGATTGAGATTCATTCTATTTTAATGCATTTCAATTATTATTTGTAAGATTCAGAAATAGACTCAAAGCTGATTGGATTTTGAATCTGGTTGAATGTTTTTGTCTTAGCAGGGTTAGGCAACGTTGCTAAAACATTATAAAAAATTTACTTTAGTAAATGAAAATATTGTGAAAACTTTTTTACAAAAGTTTGGCTTTAAACAAGGGCGAACATTTTGCACGTTGTGGCAACATTTTAGCAGCATTTTTATTGGTTACCGTGAAGATTCGAGATATCGCTAGAAGTATATTGCAACATTTTAGAAACAATTCTTGCTCCTTGAGTAAGATAAATATCGCGTTTAGTATTTTGTACAAATCTACTGCAAAAAATAATTTTAATATGTTAATTTACTTTTTAACCTAATTGAATACAAGAGAATTATTGATAAATTCATCAACATCTGTTTCATAAATCATTATTTTTATTTAAAAAAAGAAAACATTAAATAGAAAAAATAATTTCTTTGAGTATTTATAATACAAATTAAACGTGATTAAGACCGGTTTAATTTTATATAACACATATAAATAAATGATTAATTGCATCACAATTCTTCTGAAACGGGTCAAGCAAATATGATATTAGAATCGGTGGTGTCTCCACTCTTTCCTTGAATTCTTCCAACCGGTGAATTGCACTCGAGTTTTCCAAGCGTCGGAAACGATAATTATTGGAAGCGATAATTGTCGCTATTAATTATTGAAAGCATTATTGAAACTAATTAAATAGCATTGAAATCAATAGTGAATTTACATTTTATCTGTAATTTTTATTAAAGATGATTGAAAGTGATTTAATTTTCATCAACTTATCGATTGAAAATAAACCATTCTACTAAAAGCGATTAAATTAAATTAAATTAAATAAATTCTATTAAAAGTGTTCATCGGTAGCATGGGATACTCATATAATTCCCAACTACGAAAACTCATTAAAATGCTTCTTTCTCTTTTCAGAAAATCAAGTTGACGAATTTTTTGAGTATTCGATGCAGTAACGTACGGCATAAACCATTCAATGCGTGTTATATCAATCTTAAAGTTTTCGATGATTCTTTCTAGTTCCACTAATTTTGTTGTTTGGATAACGGCATTTAAATCATTGCTCGATTATGTGAGAATTAGTTCATGTTTCATGTTTACCAATACTTTGCAATAATCTTTAACAAATTCGAAAAAGAAGTTTAAAGGAATAGTGACATCGAAATATCCTTCGTCGTTGATTATTTTCTGATCATTTTCTATTATCCATCTGGCAATTTCAGCAATCCAATTTTGACTTGGATTAAGTGATAGCCAATTTTTCATAATAGTTGTTAGACTAACGTTTTTTATCGCATTTAGCTCATACCCAATTTCCTCAAATAAGTGACAGATGGCGTTGTTCACAAATAGAGTATTCGTTAAGACTGCATTGTTATCGTCGCATAATCTACTACAAATACGCAATGAGCTACGAGATGGTAAAAGACACAGGTCTTGATGTTGGATTGATATGCGAATTTTATCGCTATTTTTGAAAGATATATCGGTGTACGGTTGATGAGTATGAATCTCATAATGAGCCAAAGATTTATCAAAGGCGATAGGTGACTGTATTTCTACAACCTTCTCTATTATTCCGTCCGCTTTTCGATGACGATTGACACTCAGAATTCGCTGTGTTGTCGCTTTTACTTCCCATCGACGACTGATGGTTGGTTTGTATATTTTACTGCTTATATAGCCATTACAACTGTTTAAATTCTAAACGATTCCCATGACGTACTTTTCAGATGTAATGTAATTGTTATCACTTCACCTCGAAATTTTATTAAATTTCCTTCTTGGTCAACGATGCGTAATTGTAAATTACCTATACACTTTACGGTAACTGGGAGATAAATCACATTTGAAGGAACTTCGATAATTTTATATCCAGCTGGTACTGCAGGAAAAAATTCATGAATATCGTGAACCTTACTCCCATTTATATATGTATCTGAGGTAATGTTACACTTGACTCTCAGAGGATTTACTTTAAGAATTTTTACTGGAAGATCCAAATGGTGAGAGTTGTTTTTTTCTAGTTTACGCCGTGCAAATCCCAGTACTCGACCAATGGAATCTTAACGACGGAAATCTATATCTTCTGAACTTTCATATATACAACGCAAAGAATTATCGTTCAGTTTCAGACTCACTGCTACTTCAGACTCTAAGGTTTTACAAAGAAATTTATCAATATCTTCAATTGCGTAACTATCCAAAGGTAAGATTACAGGTGGTTTATCGCCAACGTAAAATTTATTAGTATTTATATCTATATTAGGTATAGAGTTGAATGTCAAAAATTCTACTAAACCTAAAACGTATCTTTTATTTGCTAATAGTTCAATGAGTGGGAAATATTGCGCTTCCAGTAGAGCAGAATTACCCGAAAGTAAAAGTGAATGATTCTTCCATGACTGTTTCAATACGACTGATAACTTTTTACGGTGTCTTTATTTATATAGCCCTACACAAAAACTGCAATCAAAGATGACCGCAATTATAGGTAACGAAATTTTGATATCTTTTTGGATTGTATTTTACATCCTCAACTCCAAGATATGTCATTAGATTAAATGGAGGTCTAAGATCTCCAAATATGTGACGTTATTTCAAATTTTTCGATAAGCAATCCAGTGTGTGCCTATTCCGTTGACGTCATCGAGGTTAATTATAGCTGATTCTCAATAAT